CAACAACAACAACAACAACAACAACAACAACAACAACAACAACAACAACAACAACAGCAACAACAACAACAACAACAACAACAATTGATGAAACTAAAGTTCATTGTATTTAGATTCTTTATTGTCATATATCTTCTTGCATATTAAATAAATTCTTATCTTTTAGTGATTTAATTAATTTTCCCTCCCTTTATCTTGTGCAAGTTTCGGATTTAATGCCAATTCTAGAGAGGATTTTGAGAGCCATTTTGTCTTTATAAAAATCTTTCTCAAGAAAAGAAATATAGTAGAAAAAATCAAAGAATGTGATTTTTATCTTTAGTAATTTGATAAATATACGGATTATAAATCGACTCGATATAATTTAAGATTAAAACCAGTGTTGTTTTAGTTCCAATGACTTTTTCTGAAAACACCGGAAATTAAACGATAGTAATAGCTATACAATTGCTTGTATTAACCACCACGTCTTTTTGGCGCAATGTATCCATAAAAATATTAATATTTTAAATGAAAATTTAAAAAAAGGTAAAAATGTACAGTTTTTGTATTACAATTTTTTACACGAGTTCAATTGCAGATTTTCTATTGGTTCCAATTCCAGCGGAAAAATCATTGGAACTGGAAACAGTTCGTTATACAGTATATAGAATTTTAACAAATTCGTTAATTGTTGTGCGTGAAAATGAAATTTATGTGAATTTGCAATTCACGTATGTGAAATTCAAATTAGCCAATCAGAATTTCATATCCAAACACCCCACCCCAAAATTTTAATTGAAAATTTCAATTTCACATAATTTCAATTTCACATACAACAGAAAGATTTTAAATTTTAAATGGGAGTAAAGTTCGTTATAGACAGGTTCGTTATTATTTACATTTATTATTATAGAAATATGAATTGATCGACAAGAATCATTCTCCAAATTTGGAACTTATATTTACAGTTACACTGACCAAATATTATCAAGATTGTACAATTAATTTTATAAATATTTAAACGAGCCCAGATAGATATTTATAATTTCAATTTTATATATATTATGTCTATGAATTTACAAACACCTTTCACCACAAATCATTCTCATAAACCGTTACCAGCATTACCAAATGAAATTAGTAATAACGATAAATTAAATGATAAAAAGTCAGTTTTAATAATACCGCAGGATTCTAATGATTTACCATTAGATAGCGTATCGCTTGGACACATCAGAAAACTTTTAAAACAAAGTTTATATAATTGCGCAATTGAATATAATCCATGGGAATCTATAATTTTAGGAATTGTACTTGATATCGCAGAGATTTTGCCAAAAGTTATTGATAAATGCGGTGAAACAATTAACAACAATAATGAAAAAAATGATGAATTCAATAATTATAAAGTGAAATTCATTATTAATTTGAAGAAAATAGAAGGTGGCAAACCCAATGATACTACTTTTATTTACAATCATTTTGAAGGAACAAATTTATTTAAATATGGTAAGATATTCGTATGATTAAATAGTGT